CGGGCTGGGCCATGGGCAGCGCCGCCGAGCACACGCGGCCGGCGCAGCGAATCCCGGGGCCCCGGCTCGGGTGGGACAGGGCAGCTGGGGAAGAGGCGCGGGCTCCCGCGGAGACCCAGCGCTGGCGGCGGTCCGGGCTGCCAGCTCGCGGAGCACCTTGCAGGCGGGCGTTTTGGAGCTTAATCCTGGGGAGGGGAGGAGCAGGGGGAGGAGCGGGAGCAGGAGGAGGGACGGAGGAGGCCGGGCCCTGAGGGAGCGCGTCGGGCAGAGAGGAGCGCGAGCGCCCACTGCTGCCCGGCCCGCGGCTCGGGCTCCAGTCCAAGGGGCGGGACCAGCGAGGCCCGGAGGGTGGGGCGGGATTAGGTGACTCGGGATTAGTTGACTCCGTCATCACTGCCGACCTGGGAGGGCCGATCCACTTCCTGACCCGCTTCTGGTCAGAGCTTGGAGCCCATCCGTTCCGCGCTCTCCAGTTGTGCAGGTCCCAGGACCTGCGCTCCGCCGCGCGTGCGGGCCCCGCGTGTTCCCTGCCCTGTAGGTGACCCACCTCAGACGCCGGCAGCCTGCGTGCGCGGGAAGCGGGAGGCGGGGTGCATGGGCCGAACCCGTGCTGCAGCCGCTTGGGGACGAGGAACCGCAGGAGGAGCCGGCTTCGAAGTGCGCGGGTCGCCCTGAACCCGCCCTCCGCGCCGGCTGGCGGGTGGGACCCTGGATGCGGACGGAGAGGAGAGCGCGGGTCGCAGTTCCGCTTTGCTTCTGCTAGGGCGCTGAGGATTGCAAACGTCAGCTTTGAAATTGAAAAGCGAAGTCCTTCTGGCCCTGTCCCAGTTTGAAAACTGGGAGATTTTCAGAGAGAACGCAGCATCCCACACTAGATCAATGTGAGATTTGGAGCGGTGTAAATTGGGAATCTCTAAACTGAGCTGCCTGCTCACCTAAGCCAAAATAGGTGGTTCCAAAGTGAAGTCAGCAAAAGCCCTCCTATATATATGAACTTTAAAAAATCAAGTGCACATCAAAGTAATTTCTTTTAGATGCGATTTCAATACATTTCTTATATTTTAAATTTTGTAAGACAAATCTTTGAAAGGAGTCAGATTTGCCATTTATATATATTTTTAATTAATATTTTTCTGCCTTTAAAGAGGGTTCTTTTAAAACCTTGACCCCTTAACCCTTAGCCTCTATCCTTTTAGAAGAGAAGGCAATGCCAGCTATAGCATTTTCTGGACCAACGCTTCCTTTTGAAAAATAAGCTTTTAGGCGTTTTAACGTCTCTGGCTACTACTCTGAGTCAGAGTAATGTTGGCATGCCCATTTTAGGTGAAAAATGTGAATTTTAAAAAGTCACTTTAAGGCTGCACTTTGAAAAGCCTTAGCGCTTAAACTTACATTTAAAAGAAGAGCTTTTCTCCCCGATTCTGTGAAGCTGTGTAAAACCAGGTATGAAGTTGTTCCGGTCAAATGGGAGTCTGAGATAAAGCCCTGCCAACGACCCTGTCTTTAAGCTTCTCCTAACAGCCAGGCATATTGCAGACCACGAGTTCTTCAGAATTTGGGAGCAGTTATGATGCTCTTTGTTGGTTCAAATAGTTTGTTTAAGGGTGCAAAGCCTTAAGTGCACATGGTTTGAATTTCACAACTCATTTGTGAGACAAAAGGAAGGATCAGCAAAGATTCTCTTTGCATCCTGGCAGATTAGCTGACCTACCTGATTGCTGCCTAATAGGTCTTGAGAGAAGCCAGGCCCTAAACGCAGGCCCCAACCCTGGGTCTGGATTAGTGGCTTCCATTTGCAGAAATGACTCCAAGCCTATCGGACAAATGACAAAAATTTGACGACCGTCTCTCTTTCTCTCTCTGCAACCATTAATTGGTCAATAATTAATGTTCGGGGCTGGGGATTTAGCTCAGCGGCAAAAGCACCTGCCTGGCAAGTGCAAGGTCGTGAGTTCAGTTCCTGGTATTGGAGAAAAACCAAAAAAAAAAAAAAATAATAATAATTAATGTTCTTATGTTTAAATAAGGAAACGTTTGACAGGAGTTTTTTCTTCCTTTCTTTTCCGTTTTATGTCTCCGCTCAGCCATTTGCTGCCTCCCCTAGGCTTCTGCTCTGAAGTCTTCTGGGCCTGAGTTGGGCTTCCTAACTAGATGCTCATACGGTTCCTATTCTTATTTAAATATGAGTGTCCTGCAAATCCTCAGTCCCCAGTACAGCACTGTTCAGAAGTAGATCCTAGAGAGATGATTGGATCATGTGGGTGTCGACTCATCAACTGATTAATCTATTGAAGAGTTCACAGCTGAATGAGCTACTGGAAGTTGGAGCCCTCTATTAAAATGTAGGTCGCTGGGGACGTGTCTTTGAAGGTGTGTCTTGTCCTCCAGCCTCCATCTGGTCCTCTCTGCCTTTCTCTTTCCCCTTCCTGGCTGCCGTGAGGCAAGCAGCTTTTCTCTGCCAGGCCCGTCCTCCATGAAAGTTCTATCTTGGAGCCAGCCCACCATGGACTGAAACCTTCGAAACCTTGAGCCAAAATATAACTGTCCTCCTTTAAGTTGCTTTTCTCAGGCACTTTGTCACAGTTCTGCTATAAAGCACAAACATTTCAGTAAAAGTGTCTGCTTCAGGATCACTTCGACAGCACATTGGAAGTGCCTTGAGCAGGGAACCCTGACATAGTTATTGCTCCCTGGAATTTTGCATGGTGTCTAAAACATACTGTGCTCAAATAAATAAATCCATTTATTATTTTAAACATTTGTAGATTTAATTTCCTTTAAATTGTGACTATTTAGGTCAGACGTACTATCTCTGTTTCAAAGCTGAAGGTGTAAGAATGGAGACTCTACTAGAACATGGTGGTAGTGACCTAGAGAAGCAGTCGCCCTTCATGGTTGTTATCAAGAGGGACATGAGAGAGCATTAGTAGGTGATCACAGCACTGCTAATATTTAAGTGGTTAGAATGTTTATTGAGCATGTAGTATGTATTCAACACAGTGCCAGAGGTGGAGAGCAAAATGACAGGTTGAGACGTCACCATTGACCAAAAGGCAATTTTTCTGGAGAAAAGATTTTGTGAAAATCTGGTATTGGGTAAGCAGGTAAGCTATATTCACAGAAGATGAAGGCTCGAGGAATGAAGTGGAAATCAATGTGACTGACCTATGAATTTGGTCAACATTCTGCAATAACAGCCGTTGATACGGCCGGGGCTTCTATACAAAATGAATTATATGTTACATCTTCTGCATTTTGTCATTGAATGCACCAGAGACAGGAGGGATTTCTCCAGGGCAGCTCGCCTCTAGTAAAAACTGGATTTCTACTCCAGTGCTGTTTGTAACTCAATGGTTTGCTTGTACTCATTTTGGTTATTGTCTTTCCTACAAATGCATAATGTAGTTTATGATGGGGACTAATGGGGGCTGGAGGAAGATCAAGGGAAGGGGTGGCAGGGAGGGAAAGAAAAGGTGTTCTTGCTTCTTCTGAAGATGTGTAAGATCCACATTCACTCTGCCTACCCAGACTCCAGGGGGATTTTCCCTGCAACCACTATCTACTTGGGCTGGCTTGTGTTCTACCTGCTTTCATAATGGCTGCTTGAATCTTTAAGGTTAATAGCATGAATATTAAGGAGTCCAGTGGGATTCTTTACAAGTGGAGGAAATTGGGATCAGGTTAAAAATCCAATTTTAATAAACTTTCCAAGTCCCGATTTAGGTGGTATGCTAATGGCTCTTACTGCTGAATCACCTGAAAAGTCAAATGTATTTTTAAAATGTCTTTGTTGTATGGAAAGCTTGATGGATATTGCTTAATTGTGCATTGTGCATTCCAGTCTGCATAGAACAAGATCATCTGTAAGGCTGAAGAGTGCTGATAGGAAATGTTGCTTTCTGCAGAGCTGACTGTGTATAGGCAGTGTGCAAGATAATTTTCACTGGTTTTGACCAAAACAAAGAGAGCATGATTACTCTGCCAGAAAGTGGTATCCTCAAATAACTCCACTAATTTGATTGTGCTGAGGTCTAGAATTGTTTCTACTTCTTTTGATTTGCTAATTATCCAGAGCAGTATGCTTGTGAGGAAGGAAATGAGGGTCATGTCTATAAAACATGGAGGAGCGTGAGTCCTTCCAACTCGGATCACCCATTGCATGCCTCCCCGCAGCTCCCAATCTATCTATAGATATGTGTAGAGTCTGCCAATCTGTGGTTAATGGTCTCCTTGATAATTTTTTTCTGAAAACATGACTTTTGTTCTTCTCCTACCAGATTTACTATTGGCCCATGTGGTTATAGGGTAATTTATGACTTTATGACTTTTGTCTCTGTGAGCCCCTTCCTCGCCTCTGTGATTTAGGTATGAATGTCCTCCTCATGCCCATCTGTGAAAAGTTTAGCCCTCAAGCTGGTGGTAACTGAAGGTGGTGGAACCTTCAAGAGGGGAGGCCTAGTGGAAGGTTCTTAAGTCTTTGGGAGTATGTCCGTGAAAGACATTA